CCTTAAGGTAATGCAGGATTGATAGCATCAACAGTATGGGCACAGCTACAGGCACGAATTGAATGCAAGGGTCTGGCTTCAGCAGCTTCTATGTCCAGACAGGATCAACTCTGAACCTGACTCCCCGCTAAGCTGCTAAGCCACATGAACCTCAGCCCCAGCATCACGGCCTTAGGGTGCAGGGTTTAGGGCCCCTCCCCCGCCAGTCCTCCGGGTCGAGCCTGGAGTGAAAATTCGAAGCCATCCTCACAAAGATGTCTCCATCACGAAACCCTACTACTGACTAGCGACCCCCCCCCCCCTCNNCCCCCCCCAAAAAAAAAACAAATCCCACCCCAAACAGGAGACAGGTAGACTCCCTGGATGCAGGACTCGACTGCGATTTCGTTTCGAGGATTGCTGTATTGTACTATTTTGTTAGCATATGCTATGGTGTATATAGTGTGTATATATATACATACATACACGTTCAACTAAATAAATAAATAAATAAATAAAAATAAATAAGTAAATAAATAAAAATATAAATGTAAATATAAATATACATATAACCATAAATAAATAATAAATAAATGTGCATATATATATATACACACACGTTATACACACAGATATATATATATACCCACACATACACATACACATACACATACACATACACATACACATACACATACACATAGACATAGACATAGACATAGACATACACATAGACATAGACATAGACATAGACACAAACACAAACACAAACACATACACATAGACACAGACAGTTAAACATACATTCATACATCCATACATGCATGCGTGCATGCATGCATACACATAAATATATATTGACATACAGTATCTGTATAGCTAAGGTGTATCATGTATCATTATTTTTCATATAGGCTGCTACCATTTTAAGGATCATGCGAGGTTCAACCCTGGACCAGGACTCTTGGACCCTCCGAAGCTTGAAACTGTCATGGAGCTCTTGCCCGCGTGCACGCAAAAGGCCCGGGCCCCTCCACACCCCACAACCCAGCACTCTGAACGCCTAAACCCTAAACCCCAAGGAAGATTTAAGGGAGCTGCGACAGTGTGATCGTCCTTTCAAGCGCTCTGCGCCATGGTCGGAGCTTAATGCCCTTTCACGGCACCCAACCCGGGGTTCGCAAACCTGCACAGAAAAAAAAGAAACCGGTTTAGGGACCCGGGCACCCATAGTCATGCTGGAAGCCTCTATAGGCCCTACCTGGACCCTTGAGAACCTCTTCTTTAGGGTTCCTGAATATGAGTTCCTCCTCTGGGTCCTTAAGAAAGGCAGGTTCTTGAGGTCTAGGTAAACCATAAAACCCCAAGCCCTGTAGCCGTAGTCGTCCTCCGTCCAAGCTGCATCTTCCAAGCGCACTGGCGATCGTGAACCCTGGAGGACAGCGAGTGTCACACGTCACGGTTTCTCCGAGTCGTATAGGGATCTATAACGGCTTATCATATGATATAAGGGGCTAGGACCTTTTAGGGTTTCGTTGTCTTTTGTTTAACGCCTTGTTCCACCTGCAGTGTCTGCCGACAAAAATCCTTCCCGTATAGATCTATAAGGGCTTATCACATGATATAAGGGGTTAGGACCTTTTCAGAGTTTCGTTGGTTTTTGTTTAACGCCTTGTTCCACCTGCAGTGTCTGCCGACAAAAAATCCTTCCAAGGGAAAGATGAACATACAACCCCCCTTCGGACAACATCACCCTCGACGACCAGCAGGATCACGACGGCGACGCGTTCCACGATTCTGGATCCCACCTTCATCACCATGGGACTCCATACCACCTTCTTCCTCCCTGGACCACTGACACTGGAACCCTTGTGGACACCGGCCCCCCGAGCTTGCCCAACGGCGCGATCGAAAGCCCAGAAAGAGACGGGGGGATGGCCAAAGTCGGACGATGATTGCACCAGCTTGATGGAGACGAGGGCTGCAGATAAGTGCAAGGTGGAGATCTCAATACCCCTTAACTAAGGAATATACCTTAAAGCATAGGGGCCTTAATATTATTAGGATTTAAGGTACGGTATATTCCTTAATTAAGGGGTACTGGGTTCTCTGGGCAAGGGGGAGAAGATCAAGGTGAGGGCCCGGACGGGGTGGCGGCCGAGGGTCGAGATGGTGGGGATGTTGCTACCTCCTGCTCGGTCCAAGCGCCAGAGTGAGTGACTACGATGTCGACCTGCGACCAAACAGGAGCCTCGTTTAGAGCGAAATTTACGAAGAGGACTCCTGCATTCGGGAATGACACATTCAACAGGCAACTCCGTCTTGAAACTGCGAACCCTCGCGATGCAGCAGCGTAAAACTTGTCGTTTGGAAATGCTGGGGAATGCACTCGGCTAGAGATTCTAGGAACTCTGCACCCTGTGTTGCTCGACCATCGACCTCTGGGAACGAGCGGAGCTGCCATCATGGACAGCACTCTCCGACCAGCTCCAGAAAAAAAAAAACTCTTCTTGCCCGGGACGGGTGCCAAACAAATCTGGCAAGTCATCGCAGGGCTCCATGTGCACAGGCCCCAGCTTTTCTTACAACTTTGGCCCTCCCAGTACCCCAAGGATTCTTAAACCCGATACCCTCCATCCGTAACCCTAAACCCCAAGCCTCCCCCAGGCCGACGTCTGCAATGAAATCCCCCTCCTGCAGGAAGCTTGACGATGTAGACTGTAGCGGGTTCGGGGTTTATGAGGTACTCATTGGAAGCTGCCTGCACTCAGTAACAGTTGGGTAATATTCATAATATGGACGTATACTGCAGGTAGAGAATGAGGAAAGCATATTGTGATCCTAGAATCGGTCGCCGACGATGGGTATACATACATTGCAGTTTGCGACAGAATATGAGTCGGAGCTGGTCCATTGTAGTCCAAAGGTTCCATGTTAGCCAAGACCTTTATTTGCTTCATGCCGCAAAAACAGCCAGAACTGTGATCTCTCTCGCCGTCTGTCCTCGAGGTGAACAATCAAAACGACGTGTTCTCCCCACATGACCTCGACCACGCAAATTTGCTTCGAATCAGCACATGCACACACGTCTCAGGGCATTTTGGT